CTGATCCTGGTAGAGTAGACTACAATGCCGGCTGTTCTGACTCACGGACTGTAAGTACATTTTTTATATTTAGAGAGTTTTTATATTTTATATATTTAAAGCGAGTTTTTTTGGGCAGTGTAGAGTAGGGCTTGTTGTTTGTCATTTCTCCGATCACAAATGCAGACATGGTTTTATGTTTACATGATGCAACGCAACGCGTAAAAAGACAGTATAAGTCTATAAGTATAAGTATAAGTTATAATCCATAATTATGTCCCCACTGGATGCAACGAATGCCTCGTTTATAATGGGTTTTCATGTTTTTGAATCATCGCTCCGGCCTGACAGGGCATCATAACAGTATGGTAGGGGCGTAACATTTCCGTCACACGCTTGAGGTATTCGGCCAATCATAACGCACTGGATAGCTGGCCAATCACAGCACACCTTGCTTTTCAGACCGATGAGCTTTGTAAAAATCGACGCGTTTCAGAAAGGCGGGGCATAGAAGAGAAACAATAATGTACAGTATGTGGAAAATAATGTGTTTTTTTTACCTTAAACCGCATAAACACATTTCATTAAACCAAATACACAAAATAATGTTCTTTTTAGCAACATCATATGACCCCTTTAAGTTAAGTACTGCACCATCCAATCATATTTCTAAAAATGGAGTCACCTAGAGCTTCCCATTGCTCCCTGTCAAGCCTGTCCCACAAGTTCCTGGCATTGACGCTCTAGAGGTTCCTGCCACTCACATGGCAACAGAGCTCACTTTCTCAGTCACCTTGGGCCCAGAGATCCTGCCACTGTCACTGCTGCTCCAAAACCTGCTGAGGTCCCACAGAGGTCCCTGACGTAAAAGCTCCAGAACACCATTTTTATAGCATTGCTAGTCCAAAAGGTCCTTCACACTGCTGCTCCAAAGGTTCCTGCAACTGGGTGCCAAAGTCAGGGATGCTTCAGAAATCACTGTAAAGGCCTCCATGAGGGTTCTTGACGCAGAACCTGCTGAGGTCAGAGAGAACCCAATCAAAGGCACAACAGAGGTTACTCGACTCGGTACCTTTTCAGAGCTACCCTGGTCCCAGAGCTTCTTGTCCCGGCCTGAAGGTTTCTGCTGCTGCAACCCCAGAACCTGCAATGGTTTCAGAGCTCTGTGTCATAACAGCTACAGTTGCAAAGCTTCCCATCATGTGTGCCACGAAGGTTCCTCTCATGATGGTGTTAAGATTCATGCCACGGCTGCCAAAGAAATTCCAGCCAAGGCCGCCTCAATCTTTCTTTTCATAGCCTCAGTTAGAGCTTATGTCCCACAGCTCCTTTCTCAACCTCCCTGGTCCCAGAGGTTCCTGCTAAAGCTGCTCTGGCCCTAGAGGTTTCTGTCTTGACTGCATCAGAGGATCCTTTCACGGCCCCAGTGTTTCCTGTCACTGGTGTGATTCCTCCATTAATATATTACACCTGTGTGCCACATTAAAACACAATGTTTGTGAAAATAAACACAAAATGTGCTGTTTTATCAGGAAAACAATATGGTCTGGACATTAATCTGGTTTACATTTATCACTTTACCAGTCAAGAGTGTGTTAATGTGAGTAATAACCTCAGGTAAGTACAGAAGGTCAGATATGCTGTATATAAATGTGTATTCAGCCATTTCCAAGCTTTTCTAATGCCTGATGGAAATACCAATATTTCAAGAACTATAAGGTATAATGTACAGCAGTGGTTTGCAGTTCTGGACTCACAGCACATTTTCTATGTCTCTCTTTGTTTATGGAGCTCTCATCAAATCAGTTGATGATCTGAATCAGGTGTGTAGACCAGAATTGAAAACCACTAATGTACAGTCTTTACCTCAAAATAAAAGTCTGACAGGATCATCAGGAGAATGGCACAAAACAAATATATTATCATGTCAAATGTGGCCTATACAGGAACACACACACACACACATTTGTGTATTTGGACTTTTGACTCAAATCCTTACATTCCGTATCTCACTTTACAAATACATTACATTACACATTAATGCACTTTTTTTAATCTGAAAAAGAATATGAACACAAAAGTGACATTTTATTTATCAATGAAGGATGTGTCATGTTTAATATACAAGAGCATGTCTGATATAGGGATCGTTTTATATGCAGTAATGTAGGCCATAAGCATGATGTGTGATCTGTGCACTGACCATCAGATAGAGGCACATTAATTCACATTCATTTAACATTATAAATAGTGAATGCAGCCTCCAATCTCATGCACTATGAACTGAGTGAAATCACAGTCCGTCATTGATGCCCAGCAGGTCTCTGGTAAATTCTTGGTCCTCATTGTCCAGTATAGTGCTGTGAACTGAAGACATCTGGGGAGAATCTGTATCTGCACAGAAGAGAAGTGAATATATATTACAATAACATATATTAGAATAACATAAAATGGGATCCTATTCTTTCGGTATCACGAAAACACTAAGGAAGGCAAGTACTGTTTTCTGTGTTTATTGTCCTCACAGAGACAAGAGTTATGCTCTCTTTCTCACAGTTGCTGGTCATGTTGCTTGATCAGAAATTGAGACAATTGTTTAATCTTAAGTTAATTTTCAACGGATCTGTTATCTAAATATAGTACATAATATATAATATTGTAGTAAATGTTTTCAATTTGTTTGGATTTCTTATTTTATTTATTTATTTAAATGTCCCATTAGTACAGTATATTGATATCACTAACTTGTAGTTTAATTGTCATATTTCATTTTTTCTTATATTATTTTATATTTGATTTTATTATATTATATTGTATATATTATATATATAAAACAGACAATGATGATGACCACACATGCACAGTCAAGTCCTCCTCACCTGTCAGATACCACCGAATCACAGCTTTTAATACCTATATATAAAAAAAATACATCGATTATATTGCACACTTAAAAAGTAATCTTGAAACTGACAGAATTAGAGAGAAACCCACCCTCGTGCTGTCTGGTGTCTCTACACTGTCCCCTGAGGTTGATAGCAGTCACCAAGACCACCATGACAACAATTAAAATGAGTATAAGACTCATCACACCTGTAATTGCAGACAGGAAGTATTTTAGCACCAGAAATAATGGGTATCATGAGATTTTATCAGTATAAAACCTACCAAAGGCGAGCAAAGTGAGGCCGCTGTCTGGTGCCTGTGAAGGTGTTGGCGTCCCCTCAGACAGGCTGATGTTTGAATTAGCTGTGTTTGCAAGTACGGAAACACCCACTGCACATGGAGCAAACATATGAAATAGTGTTTTAATGTAGTTTTAATAATGCTTGACTGTACTACACAGCATGACCAATTCTTCAACATACATCTTAAATACTCAAAATGATCTTCAAATGCCATTTTTTCATACATTTGAGATATACAAATATACAAACTCATCTACATCTTGGATGGCGCGAGGGTGAGTATATTTCAGCAAATGTTCATTTTTGGGTGAGCTATTCTTTTACCAGCAGTTAATAATTACTACCTGATGTGTTATGCGAAGAGAGGCCAGATCCATCAGTACTGCCTGAGCAAACAATGGTACAGGTTACATGACTGTCATCCACTTCCACTGATTTTGATCCCCAAAACTCAGCTATATCTTGTCCATTTACATTTATAATGATACTTACTGTTCATATTTTGGCAAATAAGAATTTTGGGGGGGCGAAAGCCAGAAGAAGGAGGTAAAACCTGTTATTTTGGCTGCTGGGGATGAGGTGGAATTTAGAGTTGTGTCAGTGTAGGATTTTGGTGTTGTTAACTTGGAGCTGGTATTGATGGACTGTCCTGTAATACACAATTTTATAACTTTAATAAAATTTATTGTGTTAACCTCACAGTTCTCAGAATGAATTTCACTTAGTAGACAAGCAAAATAAGCCATCAACTTGCAGTCAAAATAATGAAATTGCAGTCTTCTCCAAATATACTCCCACTATATATAATGAATATTATAATTTAGGGAATAGTTAACCCAAAAATGAAAATGTACTCACCCTTAAGCCATAAAAGATGTAGATGAGTGTGTTTCTTCATCAAAACAGATTTGGAGAAATTTAGCATTACATCACTTGCTCACCAATGGATCCTCTGCAGTGAATGGGTGCCGTCAGAATGAAAATTCAAACAGCTGATAAACATCAAATATACTCCCACTATATAATGAATATTATAATTTAGTGAATAGTTAACCCAAAAATGAAAATGTACTCACTCTTAAGCCATAAAAGATGTAGATGAGTGTGTTTCTTCATCAAAACAGATTTGGAGAAATTTAGCATTACATCACTTGCTCACCAATGGATCCTCTGCAGTGAATGGGTGCCGTCAGAATGAAAATTCAAACAGCTGATAAACATCACAATAATCCACAAGGAATCCACAAGACTCCAGTCCATCAATTAACATCTTGTTGTGATGCAAAAAGCGGTGTGTTTCTAAGAAACAACTCCATTATTAAGGCGTTTTAACTTTAAATCATTGCTTCTGGCCAAAATGCCAGTCTGTAATCCATAATAATGCTCCCTCCAGTGAAAAAGTAGATCCCGTGTTATCCTCTCACATAAAGATCAACAGACATATTTGTTTAGAACTGTTTTGGACTCTGTTCACTTGCAAATGGTCCTAGATTTGGGAATATTTCTCTCCTGATTCAGAAGAGACAACTTGTTTACTGGAGAAAGAAATATTATGAATAGAGGACTCATTTTATCCTCTCACATAAAGATCAACAGACATATTTGTTTAGAACTGTTTTGGACTCTGTTCACTTGCAAATGGTGCTAGATTTGGGAATATTTCTCTCCTGATTCAGAAGAGACAACTTGTTTACTGGAGAAAGAAATATTATGAATAGAGGACTCATATTTTAGCTGGAAACACAGCTGATTTTTTTTTTATTACAAACACACATCTTTTCAGTTCATGTGGATTACTCGTGGATTATTGTGATGTTTTTTATCAGTTGTTTGGACTCTCATTCTGATGGCACCCATTCACTGTAGAGGATCCATTGGTGAGCAAGTGATGTAATGCTAAATTTCTAAAATCTGGTCCGATGAAGAAACAAAATCATCTACATCTTGAATGGCTCGAGGATGAGTGCATTTCAGCAAATTTTCATTTTGGGTGAACTATTCTTTTGCCAGCAGTTAATAATTAATATCTGATGTGCTATGTGAAGAGAGGATCCATTAGTACTGTTAAACAGAGGTACAGTCCACATGACTGTATATTTACATCAACTGAATTTATATTTGTGCCTTACCTGTGTGGCTAGAAGATACAGGAGCTGTGGTTATGCTCACAGTTTTTGAGGTGTGGCTGGTCTTGCCATTCTCATATTGAGATGAAAAAGCAGAAGTCATTGTTTTTTCAGTTTGGACTTCTGAAATAAAAAAAGAGATATATTTACATTAAGATTAACTGTAATTGGTTTTTCTTCACCACAGATTAAATAAAAACGTTTTTATTTATAAATTTTACTACTATACATGCTGAAGGAAGAATGACATTTTGTGGTTCATGTCTATTTGTGCAAATAAAGTTACACCGCCACAGATACATTTAAGAAAACATGTTGTTCGACATTTACCTATTAATATTATCTAAACAATGGTAAAATGAGGGTTACCAATTGTTCAAAACATCTTTGATATGGGAAATTCTTGTTTAGATATGAGAATTATACACAATTTAATAGAAATACTCACCTGTTCTTGAATCAACAGACCATGGAGATGTAGCATTTGTGTTTGGAGGTAACGTAGTTTGTATGCTTGTGTCATTTCCTGTGCAAGTTGCACAGAGAACATACATTTCATAAAAACAAAACTGCATACATAAAAAAATTAATTAAATAAAACTTTTTGGGGCCACCATACGTAGTCAGTGACTGTTGCAATTTAAGCCAGAAAACATTTTTAAACTTTTATCACAAGCAATACCCCCCTCCCCCCTTTTCCCCATTTACTGTTATACACTTTTCCCATTTTCCAAAAAAATAAAAAAAACTTTTTGGGGCCACCATACGTAGTCAGTGACTGTTGCAATTTAAGCCAGAAAACATTTTTAAACTTTTATCACAAGCAATACCCCCCTCCCCCCTTTTCCCCATTTACTGTTATACACTTTTCCCATTTTCCCTTTCTTTTTACTATATACTAATATATATATATATAATTGGCTTCTGATTGATTTACCTGCTGAGATTATGGATGAAGATGCAAACAGGGGAATGAGAAGAAAAAAGAGCTGCTCCATGTCTCAATCCAAATGCGTTTTACTCTCCTCCACTTACACAGGACAGGTCGTATGTATCCCAGATATCAGGAAATAATTACAGTAATTAATTGTTAAAAAAGAACAAAGCAGAAAAACTATGGAAATGTTCTTGAGCGAGTAAATTTGGTTGAAGCATTAACCAGTATGTCCAATTCTGTTTCCTGTTGGGTATAATAGTAACACATGAGGGAGTGCACATAGTATTACAAAGTCCCGCTGAGAAGCGTGTGCTTGGGTGTGTGTCAGTGGGCACCGAGCTCTGGTTTGAGGGAAAAGTAGCTGCAGCCCCCTGAGCTTCCTGTGGAAGAATAGCAGGAAACAGGTGGGATGCCCTCATGGAAAAAAGCCCTCACTGACTAAGCCTTTGAAACTTTGAAGTTTCTAAAAAAAATAAAAATAAACTCATACAAACTGTGGTCTTTGCATTTCTAAACATTAATGTTACGTTAAAAATGACATTTTCATTATTGATTATTAATTAAGCATCTGTTGAATAATCATTTTGCTTTTTTTGAAAAAAATAAAATAAAATAAAGACCTTTTTTTTTCCAACCAATGTTTTCAGTCCATCATTGAAAGGGGAAAGACAGATTAGTTCATGCATATTTTATTCAAGAGTAAAAAAAGTGATTTGTCCCATAGGGCATGCTTACAATATGTGTTTTCATTTAGGAAGTCAAATGCGAAAACTTAGTTCCAGAGAAAATTACAAGAAAAATAGTCACAAATCCATAAAATTCCTTCTTTGAAATGAACCACGTCTGTACCAACAAGGATCAGAAAACCGTAAGCTTAATTGTAAGAATAATAAGAAGATCATCATAATGATAATATAGTTTTCCTCTTCAAAGTGAGACACTGAATTTTCCTCGTGTCCAATTAGTTTACATTTGAACCATGCGATCATGCTTTGGCAGCCTGAATGTTGCTTTTTACTGAGTAATATGTTCATTCAAACTACTGAACAACTTCTGTACACCAACTGAACAGAGAGAACGAAACAGAAAGAAAGAACTAAAGATGACGAAAAAACACCTCGGAAAGAGCGTCAGTGCCTGTACAGCGAAACTACAAAAATAAAATCAACGATAATAAAATGATATTGGATATTGATGAAAGAAAAGAAATGAAATAAAAGATTACAAAATCATATCTATTTATAGAGATATAAAAACTAAAAACAAATTTACAAATATAATTTGAAGGGAAATAATTAAAGTCTACTATATTGAAACACATCACAATTATAATTTCACATATCAATAAGGAACTTAATTGCATGCACTGATGCGTTCAGTACCATAGATGCTGTTAAAAATCATTGTCCTCGACCCTTGTTAATAATCATATTTAAATATATTTATATATATTTATATAATATTTATTTGACTTGCGAAATGTACTATGTGCATTCTCTCTTGAAATACAGGCAAGTGAGAAACAATCAGGAAGGTTGCGCCAAAGGTTGAGCTTGAGCTCCAACTGCGGTTTTCCTCCATCCGAACGGTTGCTTTGATCGAGAGTCTACAGCGGACAAGCAGCACTGCTCTCCTCCTCTACTGCTTCATGACATCTTACCAAAAACCAAATCAAGAAATAAAACCCCCCAGGTAAGATTGCATCGTAAGTAATAAAATGTACAGGATTTGTTGTTAAATGTCCTTTCTTACAAACATTTTTCGTTTTTTTGTCATTTCAAATTTGTATATTTATTAATACTAGTAGCAAAACATCGTCAACAGTGAGATCATTTCATTATGAGATGGGATCATGAAGAAAAACTCGCAATCAAAAGAGGAAAAGTGTGCATGGATCCGGTACGGGCTCGTCACCCGCACCGACGAACTGGATGGATCAGGCTTAAGAGAGAACACAGGACCGGTCGTATGTATCCCAGATATCAGGAAATAATTACAGTAATTAAATGTGTTAAAAAAGAACAAAGCAGAAAAACTATGGAAATGTTCTTGAGCGAGTAAATTTGGTTGAAGCATTAACCAGTATGTCCAATTCTGTTTCCTGTTGGGTATAATAGTAACACATGAGGGAGTGCACATAGTATTACAAAGTCCCGCTGAGAAGCGTGTGCTTGGGTGTGTGTCAGTGGGCACCGAGCTCTGGTTTGAGGGAAAAGTAGCTGCAGCCCCCTGAGCTTCCTGTGGAAGAATAGCAGGAAACAGGTGGGATGGCCTCATGGAAAAAAGCCCTCATTGATTGAGCCTTTGAAACTTAGAAGTTCCTAATAAAAACCTTATACAAACTCTGGTCTTTGCATTTCTTTACATTAATGTTACATTAAAAATGACATTTTCATTCTTGATTATTAATTAAGCAGCTGTTGAATAATCAGTTTACTGTTCTTTAAAGAGAAAAATAATTTTACAAGCAAATTTTCAGTCCAGCATCGAAAGGAGAAAGACATTATTAGTTCATGCATATTTTATTCAAGAGTAAAAAAAGTGATTTGTCCCATAGGGCATGCTTACAATATGTGTTTTCATTTAGGAAGTCAAATGCGAAAACTTAGTTCCAGAGAAAATTACAAGAAAAATAGTCACAAATCCATAAAATTCCTTCTTTGAAATGAACCACGTCTGTACCAACAAGGATCAGAAAACCGTAAGCTTAATTGTAAGAATAATAAGAAGATCATCAAGAATCATAATGATAATATAGTTTTCCTCTTCAAAGTGAGACACTGAATTTTCCTCGTGTCCAATTAGTTTACATTTGAACCATGCGATCATGCTTTGGCAGCCTGAATGTTGCTTTTTACTGAGTAATATGTTCATTCAAACTACTGAACAACTTCTGTACACCAACTGAACAGAGAGAACGAAACAGAAAGAAAGAACTAAAGATGACGAAAAAACACCTCGGAAAGAGCGTCAGTGCCTGTACAGCGAAACTACAAAAATAAAATCAACGATAATAAAATGATATTGATGGAAAAAAAAAGAAAAGAAATTAAATAAAAGATTACAAAATCATATCTATTTATAGAGATATAAAAACAAACTAGACCTTTACAAATATAATTTGAAGGGAAATAATTCAAGTCTACTATATTGAAACACATCACAATTATAATTTCACATATCAATAAGGAACTTAATTGCATGCACTGATGCGTTCAGTACCATAGATGCTGTTAAAAATCATTGTCCTCGACCCTTGTTAATAATCATATTTAAATATATTTATATATATTTATATAATATTTATTTGACTTGCGAAATGTACTATGTGCATTCTCTCTTGAAATACAGGCAAGTGAGAAACAATCAGGAAGGTTGCGCCAAAGGTTGACCTTGAGCTCCAACTGCGGTTTTCCTCCATCCGAACGGTTGCTTTGATCGAGAGTCTACGGCGGACAAGCAGCACTGCTCTCCTCCTCTACTGCTTCATGACATCTATGTATTACAATTCCCACAAAACCATTAAGCAGCACAAGTGTTTTGAATATGTAATGTAATAAGAAATGTTTCTTGAGCACCAAATCAGCTTATTTGAATGATTTCTGAAGGATCATGTGACGCTAAAGACTGCAGTAATGGCTGCTGAAAATCAAGCTTTGCCATCACAGAAATAAATGACATTTTAAAATACATTTATTTAGAAAACAGCTATTTTAAATTGTAATTATATTTCACAATATTACTGTTTTTATCATATGTTTGATCAAACTAATGCATCCATGGTGAGCATATGAGACTTCTTTAAAAAAAAACAATAAAAAAATCCTACCGCCCCAAACTTTTAAACGGTAGCTTGATTATTCAAAAAATAATATATGGAGGACTAATACAATAAAATGAAATTAATTATCAATTTATTAAACAATAAAAATGTAAACTGATTTTAAACAAAGACTAAGACTAAGACTAAGACAAAGACTTTTAAACAAAGACTAAAGTTTCAAATCCAAAGAGGTATTCTTTATAAAAGTTAAGAGTCAGCCACACCTACCTAAAACGGCTCGTTCTAACACGCCCCCACATATCTACCTCACTATGTGGAAATATTAGCATAATGTGCACGCAAAGAAAGAAGGCGTGGTTTCAGGAACAGCAGTAGTGTTGATGCAGCCATGTCAGTGAGACGGTGTGTGATTCAGTGCGAAATGACTTATCAAAATGACGAGTAAATAGACATTCAAAATGTTTAATTTATTTAACATTTAATTCAGATTTAAAAAGTTAAGTGTAACAATAAAATAACACATTAATAAATTATTAAAATTGACAAATACACAGACATATAAGTTAAATGTACTATTACTTAGTATAGTTTTTCGTACAATTACTAATATTATTTTAAATATTTCAACATATAATATTACTATATTATATGTAGTAAATACATTATTTACTAACATTTCAATAAAATAATAATTTAAGAAATTATTTCTAAATGCAACTTTTAAAGTCAATGATCAGTTGCACTTCCTAATCCATTTACCAAATGCTTTTTTTATATTCATTTTTATCCAATTGGAAAATGTCAATGAACCAATGAACCTCAGACTGAATTTTACACACCACACTAGCCTTAGAGGTTCCTCTGAAATGAAATGCTTTAAAGGGGTCATATGATGCGATTTCAAGTTTTCCTTTCTCTTTGGAGTGTTACAATCTATTTTAATATAGTTTAAAAAGTAATTTATTCCCGTAATGCAAAGCAAAATTTATATCAGTCATTACTCAAGTCTTCAGTGTGACATGATCCTTCAGAAATCATTCTAACATTTCTTATGATTATCAGTGTTGAAAACAGTTATGTTGCTTAATAGTTTTGTGGAAACCCTGATATTTTTTTCCAGGATTCTTTAATAAATAGAAAGCACTTTTAATAGAAATATTTTGTAACATTATAAATGGTTTTACTGCCAATTTAATGAATCCTTGCTGAATAGAAGTATTACTTAAAAAATTACTGACCCCAAACTTTTGAACACTAGTGTAAAATTACACATTTAAATTTATATATAGGCAAGTACAAATCAGAACTGAAAATAAATGTGTTGAGCCCAGCATTGAATATTTGCTTGGTCGTCTCTAAAGCTCACTTGAATCTGGTTTAAAACCTTTGATGTGATGTTATTGTGCTTGAAATCCACTCGTGCTGTCTGTTTAGTCATTGACTGACCAGGTAGTAAGGCAGGTGCCTTGTGTTTGGGACACAGCCACAGCGTTAACTAGTAAGCAATCCAGGCTAAGTCAGATTACTTGAAAACTATTTGACACCAAACTGTACCCAGACATGTGCAGTGCCCCTTCGTAGTGATTGGTGGCTTTCTGGTCTTGTTGCTCTTCTCTAATGTAGTGTGTTAGTTAGTAAGAGCAGTCAACTTCAGAATGTGGTGACCCTGGCGGAAAATCCAGCATACGACGATAGATGTGTTTTGAAATGTCCCAACTGGTAGGTTCCATGTTGAACAAAAAACAAACCAGATACCAAACCATCTACCATTTTCAAACTCATCTACCATCTTATGTTGGATTATGCCCAGATACATGTCCTGGAATTACCTTCTCCGTCTTCATCCGTCTCGATGGCTTCAATGGCTTCGGTGGTTGCTGGAGGGAGAGGAGGGGAGTGTGTTACATCTGAACAAGCCATGCAACAGCAGTAACGCACAGGCAGCAGTAGTGCACAAGCAGCGGCGGGCACCGGGACAACCCCGCGAGACGCATGCATGCCAACCAGACTATGGACCACAGACTCAGACAATCCCCTCAACCATTCGCACTTTGCAAGAGACTTCTCCTGCTTTCCATGCTTCCTGCACTCTAGACACCCTACGGGTCTCTCAGAAACTCACTCTCACCCCAGTTTACCACTGACAGGTAAACCGACCCACTAATGTGTCCATGCTTCGGGGGAACTAAATGAGCAGTACCCCAAAGCTTGGAGTTGTCAGAGGATACAGAAAGAGACAGATGGAGAGACAGAGACAGACATTACAGAGACAGAAGAGGAGGAAAAAAAAGAAGCAAGAAAGAGAGAGAGAGAGAGAGGAGGAGATAGATAGAGACAAGAACCAAGAGAGGAACATGGCCACTACTGGATCGCGTGCTCACCACTCTGCAGAGTCTGCTTGCCTCCAGAAAGCACCCCGCTGGGCAGCATGCCGGTAGGGGTCAGGCCCTTCAGGGTCAACACATTCTCACTCTCCTCTCTGCAGGAACAGCATATTAAAATCAGAAACAATCAAACGCACATCACTGATATTACACTACCATTCAAACATTCGGGGTTGATTAGTTTTTGAAAGAAGTCTCTTATGTTCTCCAAGGCTGCATTTATTTGATAAAAATATTGTGAAACATTATTACAATTTAAAAGAACTGTTTTCTATTTAAATATACATTTTAAATGTAACTTATTCCTGTGATGGCAAATAGTTGAATTTTTTGCAGCCATTATGCCAGTCTTCTGTGTCACACGATCCTTCAGAAATCATTCTAATATGTGACCCTGGACCACATATGCTGATTTGGTGCTCAGGAAACATTTGTTATTATGATCGATATTGAAAACAGTTGTGCTGCTAATATTTTTGTGGAAATCATGAAACATTAATTTTTTTCAAACTGGGCTCTGTTGAACATTTCAAAGAAGAAAAAGCTAATATTTACTGAAATTTACATTATTAGAGGTTCATTCTACATTCGAAAGGCTGGACAAAACACTTGTGATCTTTTTTTATTACTTAACAGCCATAGTTTTTAACAGTAAATAAAAAAGAAAGAAAAAAGAATAAATATATGTGGTCATATTTGGCTTCAGTACACTGACAATTTAATGAATGTTTTCTTCATAATCTAACTTTTACTGGTTTTCTAACAGAGTATAAATGGCCATATATATAACAAAAAACAGCTGCCTCCTCAGCATATAACTTGCAATTTTATGTTACAACCACAAATATCCATAAAGATCCCAGAATTCCATACTATACCTTTGAAATATTTTCTTTAAAATACTTTCCGTACCTTTAAAATAGTTTTTGCATCCCAGTTTTATGTTGCACTGAATATAAGCCATGAATATATTGCTTTTAAGAAGCATCTCCTCTATCCTCTATCTATCATGTCTGATAAGCAAGCATAAGCATGCGACCCAGCTGACCGCAGACTGAATGACTCAGCTGGAGGAAGCCCCATTTGTACCTGAGCACAGAGAACATCTTGGCCATCTTCCCAATGGCACGGATCTTGTTCCTAATCACCTCTTTCCGAGCAGCTGCTGCATTGGCTGTGGGTGGAAAGAAAAAATCAAGCAGTCTCAGTCAGTCTCAGTATGACCAGAGGCTAAAAACCCCCAGAAACTTTTATTCTTTTACAGAAATTATCTGTATTGTGTTGGCGGCAGTTTTGGGAGTAACTAACTTAAAGAAGTGACACTACTAACTATTTTTTCAAAGTATTTTCTTCCAAGTTCAAGCTACTATTTCACTCACATTGCCACATTGTATAGGGTGTAAAGCAGTGGCGAGCAGTGACTTTTTTAACCGGGTATGCTGAGTGATAAGACCTCCCCCCCCGGCTTTTAGGACACTCAAAAGGGATCACAGATGACAAATAGCTAAGAAACACCGTGGCAGGTGTCGATTTAAATGTATGCACATTTCCTACCTTATTTGTAAATTAAATTCATCTCCAATCCTTCTTCTATCGTTTCAAGTTTATCCATTATTCCAATGCAAGAAAAATATAGCTGGTTTTCCAAGTAAAACCCGCCAAATAAAGTTTACACGTAGTTACGTTATGTTACTTAATCAGAGGGTGGGGAGATGGGGGGATTCCCCCGCTCTATATGTCTCTGCATCTGCTAAATTATTTTTTAATAATATAATAGGATAATATAATTAATAATAATAATAGGAGTTAAAATCCCCTGCCGGGTGACACTAATAACAGACCATGCAAAATACCAAAAAATATTAAAAATATTGCAAAGTAACGTTGCAACCTTGCAAACAATAATAAAATCAGAGAAGGACTTTAACTGTAAGCGACACGAGCATACGCAAAACAAAGGGAACAATATGATGTTAGTTATTATTATTATTAAAGGGGTCATATGATGCGATTTCAATTTTTCCTTTCTCTTTGGAGTGTTACAAGCTCTTGGTGCATAAAGAAGATCTGTAAAGTTGCAAAGACTAAAGTCTCAAATCCAAAGAGATATTCTTTATAAAAGTTAAGAGTCAACCACGTCTACCTAAAACGGCTCGTTCTAACACGCCCCCACATGTCTACATCCGCCGGCTGCGCCGTTCTCAAGCCCGCCGGCCGTTCGTCACTCTAGGCCGCCGGACGCCGCTCACTCTAGTGTCACTCACCGTGTGTTTCGTTGTGAAAGCGAAACCAGTTTGTTTGGTCTTCCAAAAGAGGACACGTTTTTTCTTTTGATTTAGTCGAGTTGGTTTTGCATCAAACACAATGTGATTTTCGGCAATGGAGATCTGACAGCAAAAGCACATTTTTCCGCTTGGGCGAGCGCTTTGCGGACAGCTTACCTCGCGCATTAAATCTGCCGCAGACCAGCAAATCACTGAGAACGCGCTACAATCCTGAAGAGTCAACTATTAAAATTAAAATTACTGCCGTTTGGCAAATAAATCATTGTACGTTCTTATTCCTAACTCTTTAAGCTTTAAGTTACAGTTCAAATGACAATGGATCAACTCATAAACATGTTTATACGAATTATCCCGTGAACTTATTCTCTCAAATGGCCTGGGTATGCGGAGCATTCGCAGCTTATATGGACGGAACGCCACTGGTGTAAAGTGTTTATGTTACTATGTTATGTTTATATTAATTCATACAAAACCCTCATTGTTTTTTTTTGAGTCAGAGAAATACTGCTTCTATTAAACGAAACAATAATTATTACAGCTTGTAGTTGTAGTTTACATTTCTTTAATTATAAGTAGCTTGTAGCTTGAAAAGTTTCTCCAATACTGGTTGGTAGTAGTTTCTTTAGCGGCTAGCAAAGTCAAATACTAAGACGAAACATAAGGGCTATTAAAATCACAGTATCACAAGAGTGCTACTTAACATGAAATATATCGAAAGAACTACGAGTCATAATTCAGGATGTACCTGACGTCAAAGAACAGAAAATCATAAGCATGTTTCACACTGGGGAACTCATAAAATATGTTCATCATCTAAATGCAATACAAAGGACACTGTGGAGCAAATGACTGAAGATGTCTCACCGTCAAAGATCTCGTCTCCATCATTCATCAGCTCATCGTCAGAACAGATGCTCAACACATTTACCAGCATCTCCGTGACTGCAGGCAAAGCACAGACAGTCAATCGCAACATAGCAAAACAACATTTAGTTGAAAATATCGGACATAAGCACAAGCATTTTTTGCTGTCTGTTTTTTCTTAAGGAAAAAGTATTGGAGATGATCAAGTTTTGGGTTAAGATTTTTTGGGGAAAGAAATTAATACTTTATTCAGAAAGGAATGCATTAAAATGATAAAAAGTGGCAGTAAGAACATCTATTTAAAATAAACTGTTCTTCTGAACGTTGTAATCATCAAAGAATCCATAAAAATTGTATTTTTCATAAAATATTAAGTAACATAACTGTATTCAACATTGATAATAAGAAGAAATATTAGAATGATTTCTAAGGGATGAATGACTGCTGAAAATTCTGCTTAGCCTTCACAGGAATAAATTATATTTTAAAATATATTAAAATAGAAAAAAGTTTTAAATAGCAATATTACTGTTTTACTGTATTTTTGATCAAATAAATGCAGATTTGTTGAGCATAAGAAACTTAAACTAAAAAAAACATTAACAAATATTACAGGCAAACTTTTGAGCTATTGTTATGTATGTATGTATATATATACTGTATATATATATATATATATATATATATACATATACATATATATGCGACAGAGGTACCTTTCTCCCCCACAAATGGAAGTGACCAGGTAAAGACATCCATGAAATTTGGCAGCCAGTAAGGATGAGGAGAGCAGTTAAACTGCCGGATGTTCATTACATTGTTCTCATACTTCAGAACAGCAGCTGAAGAAGTGAATAATAAGAAAAAGTGAGCCTCCGGCCTTTGAGCATTCTTGAATCAATAATATGAGAAATAATCTCAAGAGAGCGTAGCTTCCTGAGCAGCTGGGTTTGTTTCCTAATCGACTAATTCAAGTGGAATCATTTTCTACATTTTTTGCTAAAGCTATGTACACACAATGATATGACAAAACCCAACCTAAATGAGCTCTATAAGGAAGAACATGTCAATCAAATATGGCGTTAATACATCTGGATATACAGTATATACATTTTTTATGTGGCTGAACATTCATTTTCACAAAGAGCCTCCACTAGATGGTACTGCTGAGAGGTTGACCCTGTTCCATCAGCGGATGATAAGAACACATGGATGGAGTCACTCAAGCTGATGGTCCTGCCCACACTCTCATCCAACTCCCATCACAATGCTCCATTTTTCTCGCACATAAGGAAAAACAGGACTCACCTTTATTGTTGTAAACATCAAGGTAGTTTGGTGCAGAGAAGATGGTAATTAGGGAAGGGAAGCCAGTAGTCTGACTCTTCCTGTACATCCGATACCTGTTAGAAGAGAGAGAGGAAAGACAAATCATACTGTAATTGACTTTTTATAGACAAAATGTGCAAAAACCGTACCTGTACGAAAAAAGTGTACCCTTAAAAGAACACCTTAGTACCTTATCTACCCCTAAAGAAGGGTCACCAAACTCGGTCCTGGAGTTCCAACTTGCCTCAACACACCTGCCTGGAAGTTTCAAGTATACCTAGTAAGACCTTGATTAGCTGGTTCAGGTGTGTTTGATTAGGGTTGGAGCTAAACTCTGCAGGACACCAGCCCTCCAGGACTGAGCTTGGTGACCCCTGGCCTCAAAGGTGCATATTAATACACAAAACTGAATTACAGTGCGAAAGACAGGGAATACATACCCTGCATCTTGTGCTTCGTGTGCTCGGATGATTGATAACAAGTTATTATTCTGTAGGAAGTCACAGACAGCCGGATAACTGCAACACAGAGATTGAGAGAAGGAGTGTGTGAATGGAGCATGAGTGCAGTTCAATATGTGTCCAGCAGGGGCAGTGTGGTGCTCAACTGTGCAGCATTATCATGTTATGTTAACAGATATCCTGAGAAAGAAATCCTCGTTCTTACATATTTGCAATTCAGAGTTCATATATGTATAGATATAGAATACATTGACAGACTTTTTCACTCACAGTCTCAGCAGACCCTGGTATGATTTGTGTTTCAATGAAATTAATATTGTGATAGTATTTAACATTGTTATTGTATCAATAAATATAGTTTATCTCGCAATGTTGTATCAGTATTCTCATGCCAAGAATTTTAGTTATACTGTATTTTGCAGTACATTTTTCTCAAGAATATTTTTGGTAAAAAGAAGATTGACCACCAATCAGAGGAAGTCTCTGAGAACAATTCAATTTTTTTTCAGTAACAATTTGAAATATGTTTCCATTTGTTAACGTTAGCTATAAAATACTTTAACAAATGTATTGCTCCTCATTAGTTAATGCTAGTTAATGCATTAACGGTAACAATTTAGTTTAGGGACTAATTCTCACTATTAACTAGTTGCTCATTAGCATGCATAATACTAGCATATTGGCTGTTTATTAGTACTTATAATGCACATATTCTGTATGAAAATATTCTACATCCCTTATCCTACCCAATGCCTAAACTTAACAACTACCTTACTAACTATTTATAAGCTGTAATTAGGACTATACTGAGGCAAAAGTCTTAGTTAGTAGTTAGTTAATAGCCGAGAATTGGACCTTAAAATATAGTGTGACCGCATTAACTAATGTTAACTAATAGGACCTTATTGCATAGTGTTGCAATTGCTTCTTTTCAACCACAACTGCTATACACTAAAATAATAATAATAAAAAACGCTGCAATATCATATAGAGTGCTTTAGTGCCCGTCCACTTTTTCAGTGCCGTTGGTTCCAACAAGTATTTTTACTTCTGAAACCATAGGGTAAAAAAAAGTCTTTGTTAAAGTGTTATAAGCCATTAGTCAAGCCAACCAGATTCACCACATTACAAACTTTGATTTGACAAAAAAAAAACTACAATCCCATGAAGCACTGCAGGACAGAATTAAAAACGATGGAGAGTTATAAAACGAATCATTTTATATTTGTTGATTATACCTATGGAAATATATTAAATTTTTATTGCAAAATATGCATAACTATACAAATATTGAAGTATTTTGACAGCATAGCAACTGCTGAATCGATTACGTCATAACTTCATGGGAGTGTGCATTCCCTGCAGAGCTCTTTTGGTTGAATTTGCTCGCCATGACTCTCTGATTAGTGGAATTGTCTGTACAGAATCATGGGTAATGTCGTTTTTCATGACAAATTCAACAGTTAAACGGAATTATTTTAAGAATACGTTTTAAAAATAAAGAATAATGCAAACGAATGGCTTCAACAAAAGCATATCAGTTAACAACCTCAGAACTCACAGTAGGTCTGTGTTTAAAGATTTATTAAAGTTTTTGGTAAAAGTAACACTGCTCTTTTCTATGCAATGAAAATGAATGGAGATGGATGCTGTCAGGCTGCACTGTGAGAGAATCCTAACATACGTTTGCCTACAACCCAAAGAGTGTGTAAAGGAGGGTGTGAACTGCTCTCTGTCTTTCTCTTTCTCTTGTATCATCGGCTAATGAGGGGGCACTGCTGCTTTACCACTGCTCTCTACCAATCACTTCTTCCTCTGCATCTCTCTTTCTCTCTCGCTATCACTCGCTCCAGTTTGGGAAGAGGAAATGGGTTGTCATGGCAACACCACACTGCAGAGCCCTTGGGGATTGTGGGATAGATCGCGTAGCTGAGTTGCCGTTGCTGGCCGCAGTGTAAGCCCATCACTCACTCCCTCCTTCCATCTCACTCTTTCTGCTGACTACAGTAAGATCAGGAGGCTGAAAGGACATCCCCCCCATCTCCTCATCTGACAGCTTCACCCTAGTCTCATACGACCAGACGTTTGATCAGCATAAAGCCTGGTCCACTTCCAACTTAATCTGACAAAGAAATGTCCACTTAGACAAATACGGAATATTTTTGACATATTAGAAACCATATAGAATACATATGAATTGGGAAAAGTACACATTGTTTGCAGACGTAATATAAAGGAATATTTCCTGTTCATTGCAAATTAATCTCAACTGACATCATTTTATGTTGATGAACACAAAAAATTATTTTGACTGGTCTCTGGATTTCTTTACTAAAAAGTGAGGCACTTGAGGTGAGGATGCATTTATTGTTGTTTATGGGTGAAATCCAGTCAATTCAATAGAAATCATTTAACAATAACATTTCTGTGAAGATTCACATTCACATTTTTCATTTTTGCTTTTTTTTAAAGGAAAATTATTTTTGTGGTAATTAATATTTTACCACTTGTAGTGAATATTCTCTATAAAAAAATGTAGTTTTGTTCATGGATAAAATGTAATTTATTTGTATTTTTACTAATTTATACATATATTTATACTAAATGCCTCTTCTATTCTCTAAATGTTTTCATTTGTATGCATGCACTCTGGGAAAACCATATACATGGAGTGTGCGTGTGCATAAAGGCAATCACATAAACAAACGGAGTGAATGGAGTGAAATAGGAGTGATTAAACACCAACATGGTGATTCAGGGAGGTGGGTAGCTCGAGGAACACTGACAACACAGATTAAAACAAATGGCTTCTGTGAGCCTTGCATAACAGAGATGTGTGTGGGTCTATATCTGTCTAAGTAGAATATGCAGCGTTGTGTGTGTGTGTGTGTGTGTGTGTGATAAATTCAGTTGTGTGTGTTCTGAAACATGGCTGCCTCTGGTATTATGCATATAACACACAGACACACTAATGAATGTAGGGCTCCAAACCACTGGCCCAAATCTGCAGGATAGATAGATAGATAGATAGATACCCTAAAACAAAGCTATTGTATGGTTTCAGAAGACTAAATGCTAATGCTAATGCTAAAACAAACATTTAAATGCTGAAAAACAACAGACGAATCTTCACTCTTGCTCTAACAGAAACAAACTCTCATTCTCACATACACAAGTGCAATGCCATTCCATCAAATTTTCAGCAGAGTGTGTGAAATATTAAGAGGCTGTTGCTTTATGCAGTCAGAACAGAGGACAGAAAACAACATCAACCCTGAGCACCTGGAGAGACCCAACAACCCCCCACCGACTCCTGCTGTCCTCACACATACACACACACACACACATATATATACGCCCACATATGTGCACAATATTTGACACAACATCAGTGCACACACATATGCACATTCAAAGCATTGTCGCAGTGGCATTAAGACATATAAATAGAATCTCACAGAATTGTGGGATAAAAAGTTGCAATTACCATTTATATATATATTTTTTTTATTCTTTGGCAGGAAGCCTCATTTAAAACCCTCTGAAATCAGAATCATTTTTGTGAATTCGAGCCTTCAAATTAAAATCCTAATATCATAATTTTCTGTATCTGTTGGTTAAAAGAGGGAACAAAAAAAATATATAAAATGTTTTGTTTTAATATTTTGAAAATGTATACAAAAATATACACTACCATTCTAAAGTTCGGGGTCAGGAAGATGTTTTTTTAAAAGAAATGAATACATTTATTTAACAAGGACATGTTAAATTGATCGAAAGTGACAGAAAAGACATTTATAATGCAAAAGATTTCTATTTTAAATAAATGCTGTTCTTCTGCTGTTTGTTTGTTAATCAGAGAATCCCCCACAAAAAAGGTTAAAGAAGGTATCACGGTTTATACAAAATTCCACATTAATTTTCAACATTGATAATAAGAAATCCTGAAGAAATTCTGAAGGATCATGTGTCTCTAAGACTGATGTAATGACTGCTGAAAATTCAGCTTTGCATCACAGGAATAAATTACATTTTAAAAAAACATAAAAAAAAAACAAAAAAACGCTTATTTTCAATTGTGATAATATTTCACAATATTACAATATGTTTTTCTTGTATTTTTGTTCAAATGAATACAGCATTGGTGAGCATAAGAGACTTCTTTAAAAAACATTTTAAAAATCTTACTGACCCCAAACATTTCCTTTTACTATTTTGTTGTTTCATGAATTGTTTTACTATTTACATTTTGCTGAAAACCCCATTATTGGCTATTTAACGGCAGATTCTTTCGACAAATTGTCCCATATAGTATGACAACATATTCCCCCTCAGACACATCAAAACTCACAGCCTTAAACACACAAAAAACACCCACCTGTAGAAGTATGAGCATCCTCTGACTGTGTTGTGGCTAAAGTACTCTTGGCTCTTTTCATTGCCGAAGTCCTCCAGGGGATCGGACCAAAGCAAATCACACATAGGCCCGAATGCTGGGGGCTCCTTAAACCGGTCCAACTAGGCCACAGAGACTCAAATATAATACAGAATACAGAAATACACACACACATATGGCTTTCTTGTGGCCATGCATGAAATCCTTCTCCTCCCACACACAGTGCGGCTGTTCACGCATGGCTTGGCAGTACCTTCTTTATGTCATCTAAGGTCTGTATTTCTGGGGACAGGCCACCGTGGACGCACAGGAACTGCTGGTTCATGAGAGCTGCCAAGGGCAGACAGTCAAACGCGCCCATACAGGCATCGTAAACCTGCTCTGAATACTTGATTTTACCTGAACAGTGAGGGGGAAAAACAGCAAGTGAGTACACAGAAAAAGCAGTCATTTTGGTCACACTTTAGTTTGGGGGCCAATTCTCACTATTAACTAACCATTAACTATTACTTCTCAATAAACACCTAATTTGCTGCTTATTAATAGTTAGCAAGGTAGTAGTTACGTTTAGGTATGGGGTAGGATTAAGGGATCTAAAATATAATCATGAAGAATAAAGCATTAATACTGTATGTGCTTTATAAGTACTAATAAATAGCCAATATGCTAGTAATATGCATACTAATAAGCAACTAGTAAATAGTGAGAATTGCTCCCTAAACTAAAGTGTTACCATAATGTTTTGTTAAATACATTCTCTTATCAAGCCAATATATGTTTCTCTGTTTGGCAAATACATTTTAATGATAGCACAACAAAATGAAGAGCAACGGATATGCATTAGATGTGTAATTGATGCTTTCATTCTGAATTTTCCTACTTGTGCTGCCACAGAGCATGATGGGAAATGTAGTTCGGTCGCACACATCTGTCTCCTTATAAACCCACTGAATGAGAAGCATTTTTTTACTTTATCATTATTCTTTCCTCATAGATACCATCAACAATAAATACCATTAACAATTCACAATTACTTTTAATGATAAATATCAGATTAGCTTCTGCTAAGAATCTTTAATGGACGCGTCATTAAAATTATGTGCTTAAAAAACCCCGACAATGTAAATACAACATTGTTATTGTGTTCATGTGCACTCTCTATTATTATTTATTTAGTTTTATTCATTTTATTTTATTTTTACCTGAAAACCACTTTTAATGTTAGTCAAGCTTTCAAAACAGGCCATATTTGCTACTGTACCTTTAAAGGGATAGTTCACCCAAAAATGAAAATTCTGTCATTAATTACTCACCCTCATGTTGTTCCAAACTCGTAAGACCTCCATTCATCTTCGGAACACAAATTAAGATATTTTTGATGGAATCTGAGAGCTCTCTGACCCCCCCATAGACAGCAATGTAATTACCACGATCAAGGTCCAGACATAGCAGGGAGATCGGTAAAATAATCCATGTGACATCAGGGGTTCAACCAGGTTCAAATACTTTTTGTGCGCAAAAAAACAACAAAAAAAAAACGACTTTATTCAACAATTAGTCTCCTCCGCGTCACCCTAGCGCCATTTTGGAGAATATCCACTGAACGTAAATTGCGTACACTGTTATGTGTCAGCTGCGCCACGCAGATACGTTGTTTTCGTTCATATCAATGCGTAAATGACGTAAACAGCGTATCTGCGTGCCGCAGCTGTACGCAATTTACGTTCAGTGGATACTCTCCAAAATGGTGCTAGGGTGACGCGGAGGAGACGAACTGTTGAATAAAGTCTTTTTTTTTTTTTTTTTTGCAAAAAAAGTTTTCTGGTACAGCTGCGCCACGCAGATACGTTGTTTTCGTTCATATCAATGCGTAAATGACGTAAACAGCGTATCTGCGTGCCGCAGCTGTACGCAATTTACGTTCAGTGGATACTCTCCAAAATGGTGCTAGGGTGACGCGGAGGAGACGAACTGTTGAATAAAGTCGTTTTTTTTTTCTTTTGTGCACAAAAAGTATTTGAACCCAGTTGAACCCCTGATGTCACATGGATTATTTTACCGATCTCCTTGCTATGTTTCTGGACCTTGATCATGTAAGGACCCTTGCTGTCACATGTCCAATGGGAGGGTCAGAGAGCTCTCAGAATGCATCAAAAATATCTTAATTTGTGTTCCGAAGATGAATGGAGGTCTTACGAGTTTGCAACAACATGAGGGTGAGTAATTAATGACAGAATTTTAATTTTGGGGTGAACTATCCCTTTAAGACAAGAAAATATAAGATGCTATGATTAGTTATTTTCAGCTAATGCCATAATTAACACTGTTGTTATCAAGTTGGGTCATATTCTAATAACGTAAAAATTCTGACATCATAGGCATGACTGGGACTGCGTTGTTAACATTAAAGTTTGTTTACATAGTACATCAAGTTCATTAATTTCAAACAATCAAAAAATCTTGTTTTTCTACAGTATGCCTCCTAAGGGTAAACAAAGGTGACATCATGTTTTTTTTAACAGTTCTTTTGCAAAAACCACCTAATATTTGTAGCAAACATCAGCTATTTTGTTATAACAGCACTTAACATGTTTTTCTCTGGTCTCATTAGATTCCTACTGGGACCGAACTTTAGCGGTCAGCCCCATGTGTCTCAGTGCGTCACAAACACTCACAGTGTCTCCAGACGAAGGAGGGTTTTTTTTTTTTCTCTTAGTGTGTCGACGCGTGTCCTATTCTCATTATGTCTCAATACGCCGCCTCTCAAAAGCATTTGTAACCATGGCGACAGGTCAGTGGAGTAGACACATAAAGAGTTTGCTGTCAACTCTGCACCTCTCCCTCCCACCGCACCTGTCTCTGTGCTCCGCCGCTCGGCCTCATGGGAAAGCGCCATTCTGAACATTACCTCATACTCCACGTCCCACCCCTCCTCCACCCCTCCCAACTGCTCTGCGTTATAAACCTCATTCTCTTTAAATGGAAAGATTTGTCCTTTCAGGAACAATAGACATTGTAGGAAATTATCGAAGGGAACTGAGGGTTGTGCTCCGTTATTCTAATTTGATTATTTTCAGTGGAATATAGGGAGATGGAATTTAAATAACCCATTTAAACTTTGTAATTGTTCTGAAATATGAACTGCAATTCAAATTTACATATAAACACAACATATAAAAACATTGCATACAAAACCAAATAACATAAAATTATTTATTCCAAGTTATGAAAAATGATATCAAATAAAAAATGTATATTATATATAAAATTATGACAAATCAATCTGTTCTATTAATACGGGAAAACTGACAGGTCTGATATAGGAAAATATATGGATATGGAATGCATGTAATCCTTTTAAAACATTAATTACTAATCAAAAATACAAAAATCATTACAAATGTTGGAATATAATATAAATATAAATTATATTAAAAATATATATATATATATATATATATATACACTACCATTCTACAGTTTGGGGCTGGTAAGATTTTTAAAATGTTTTTAAAGTCTCTTATGCTCAACAAGGCTGCAGTTATTTGTTCAAACATATAGTAAAAACAGTCATGTGAAATATTATCCCAATTTAAAATATTTGTTTATTTTATATATTTTAAAAAGTAACTTAAATGCTGATTTGCTGCTCAAAAATGTCTTATTCTTTTTAAAAAACGACTGTGCCTCTTAATATTATTGAATTAATTATATAATTAATATATAACTTACATAAACTATAATTTTTTATAACATTATAGATGTCTTTACTAACACTTTTGATCAATTTAATGCATCTTTGATGAATAAAAGTATTCAAAGTAAAAATCATACTGACCCCAATCTTTTGAATAGTAGACTACTAGTGAAAAAGCTTCTATTTGCATTTTTAAACCCTTTTTTGCCATTGCAAATTATATTTGCAGCATATTAATACAGCATTGCAAGCATAGCTTGAGTGTACACATGTGGCATACTCACATTCTTGTTTGAAGGTGAAATATTCTGTCAAATGTCTACATTCATGATTTCCTCTCAGTAAAAATAGCGTCTTTGGGTAGAGCATTTTCAGTGACCAGAGGTACAGAACACACTGGAGAGAAGGAGAGAGAAAAAGAGCTGAAACATATGGCCACATCCATGAGATACCTACAAACACCATGCTAATTCAGGCCAGCGTAACGTCTGTGTAGTGTTAATGATACGCTTCCAATTACATTACATATGTTATCACATCTACTGTCAGTCCCCATCACCTTCACTCGCTGCCCTCGGACCAAACCATACATGGGCTTCCTCCTGTCCCTTTACTGCTAACAAACACACACACACACACACACACACACACACACACACAGTTAAACACAACCAGGCTGACTAACTCATGCTGATCTCATGTATTTATGCTTTAACAAGTAAAGAAGAATTCTTCAGCAAAACATTGGGAGCTGAGTGATTTAATTGAGCAGTCGGTGTTGAGATGTGTTCGCAGAGCTAATCATGGCCTGCAGTCAAAGATGGCAGAAATTGGACATGTCGAAGAACGTGAATGCCAGAGCACAGCGCTCACAGATGACTGATTCCTCCTCTCTGTTTGAAGCTGGACGATGATTCCCTGACGTTTGTGACAGAATTGCCCATTCTTGTTATCAAAGGAACACTCGAGAGTTACAAGATAACTGGGATGAGACTATCAGCCGATAACCGAGCCTGCGTGGTCAACGGAAACTGTAGTTTATGCTTTCATGCTAGTTTCAACTCATTGTCAGCATTGAAAATGAAAAATGTAGATTTATTTTTAAGTGAATTTTAAGAAAAGAATAAATGCAGGTATTACTGCGGGAAGACAGTTATGCTTCAGTCGCAACATAAGTCATTTTTGAGCTACAGACACGGATGTTTGTATATGTTCATTAATATATCGTTGAATGTTTATTTTATTCTTTTATTTTATATTTATTTCATTATTACTGGAATCTTATTTTATTTCTTATTAACACTATTTTTTTGTTTTTAGTCACATGGTGCAAGCAGTTACAGCAGTGTCTTACAATATGGTAGTTTATCTTGAATAAAAGCTTATTAATGCTTTTATAATTATAATGCTGCTTTATGAGCATTTATTGATTAATTAGTTATAATCTGTATTAATTTATTAATATTAAAGACATTTTTTTTAAATGTCACACCTTATGTGTTTAATTCATATCTATAAATGTTTATGTACTAATATATTTATTATAAAACGCAACCTCTGCAGGTTTTCATAGAATTTGTTTGTTTATTAAATATTTGGACAAATGTAAAACTGCTTTGTAGCTATTAATAAGAGTGCAGAGAAACTACATGGAATATTTCTTTAAAAAAAGTGTCACACAGCACTTATACATTTTTAATAGTATTTAGCTAAGTATTGTTTAGGTTATTTATTTTATTCATATTTATGCATGTTTATTTATTAATATTCATCATCACATTTAACCTCTTTTGTAGTTTTTGTAGAATTTGTTTGTTTATTGGATGTCATTTTAATAATTTAATACATTTAATAATGCTTTCAGCTACCAGTAAGAGTACAGTTACTCTTTTTAACACATTTCACCATGTTTAAATTCATTCTGCAAATTTTCCCCAAAATCAGTATAGTGAATTCTGCATATTGAGTCTGGACCTGGTTATGACTCAAATGATCCTATTCATTCAAATGAATCAAAATGAACCACTTCTTTCAATTAACATGATCAAAAAGGGTGAAACCATAGATGGATGGATGAACATACTATCCCAGGGCAACTTTTCTTACCTCAATACTGAAGTAACCCCGGTCCACATAGTCGCCCAGGAAGAGGTATCGTGTGGTGGCTGGAGAGCCTCCCACCTCAAACAGTTTCATCAGGTCAAAGAACTGCCCATGGATGTCACCGCACACTGCATAAAGAAAGAGAAGGAAGCAGAGAAAGAGAGAGGAAAATATTGACTAGCTGAGCTGGATGCAAACAGACTCAACTGTTTGTTCAATATACAGGACATACAAACATTAATCCATGGCGGATTCATACAGCCATAGCTATTAAAATCATACTGTAACTGCAGCTCTGTGCTAGGCGTAATCCCTTAATATCCACCACTAGACTGCTTAAGCCATAATGAACTGATCGAACTGAACCACCTAAGAGCCTATATGAAACATAGCAGGCCTAAAGATCTATGTTGGTCCTTTGCAACATAATTCTCTCTCGATGAGAGAGAGAGAGAGAGAGAGAGAGAGAGAGAGAGAGAGAGAGAGGGGGAGAGCAAAAAATGCAAACTCCTGTTGCCATGGAGACATGAATTTGATGAGAATAAAGAATGAAATAAATGAGGAGTTTGCGTTGGCATGGAGATGCTGCCCCAGAGGCCTCTCAGCCTGTAGTGTGTGTGGGTGTGGCCACGGAGAGCGAGGGAAACACACGCATTTAAAACCCTCTTAGCTCATGCATCACATAAGAATACCCAGATATCAAGCCCACATCACTGACATACAAAGACAGAGGTTGAAATGAGCAAGTGTGTTTAATCTGACTCTGCGCTTGTGGGAAGGGAAACGAGTTTGAGCATTTCAGTCAAAGTCCGGCGCTTGAGGAATCTGATTTTACAGCGAAAGTCCAGATCGTGTGAAATGACCTACTGTACGTGCGTCACCATGCTTGAGACCTGTGAATAAAATGTGGAGCATCTCACTTCCTGTTTCTCCCACTAGACACCAAGACATCGCTCAACAAACAGTTTTCAGCATGATCACTCCAGTTTTCAGTGATCCTTCAGAAATCATTCCAATATGCTGATTTGCTGCTCAAGAAACATTCTATTATTATCAATGTTCAAAAGAACATAATTTATTTGAAATAGAAATGTTTTGTAACATTATATGTACTGCCACTTTAGATCAATTTAATGCATCATTGCTAAATACTGCCTGAACGAATAGTCAACTAATCAGTCTTCAGGGAGTCATGCATGACAGGTTCACCAGACCCAATTAGAATCCAGTTCTTATGAGCAAATACGTCTGTCCTGAGTGTATATGCCTGTAGCTCAGCACAGGATCAGCATGCTAATTAAAGCACCACCACTAAAAATATCAAAACAAACAAAACATTAATTAATTAATAAACAAGAAAAAATCTAAAAATCTTTTTAGAAACAACCAATATACTTAACTTACATCTCAATCATGATTTTCTACTTGCTAGCCGGTTGGGGAGGGGCATTCTCATTCTAGAGACAATTTGATTGGACGGAAATCAGTGTAGTGCAGGATGAGTCATCAATATTTTTGACTCGTTTTCCCAGAAGAAAGATGATGTATATTTTAAAGTTGGCAGAAATGGAAATTGTGATTGTCTTTTCTTCTCTTTTGTGATGCAAATATCCAAGTGAAACTCTTCCCAAAGGAGAGAAGGCAGGGCCATGAGGAACAGATTGTTGTTGTTTGCCAATTGCTGTGATCTCATGTGAGTGACAGGTTGTTAGAAGCAAGGGCATTATTGTCCGGCCCTCAAGCCACTCACTGCACATGCCATCAGAAAAAAAGAGAGGGAGGGGAAGTTAATGTTTTTGATTAAAGATTACAGGGACACATGAATTTTTAACAAATAATTATGTGCATGGATAAATAATTTAATCACGAAAAAATAAGAACTGTCAATTTTGATTTCAAAGCGACTTTAAATGCGTGCAACTGCTAAAAGCAAAATTGGTCACCATTTAGGTGTACACTAACATCAAAACAGACAAAGTTTGAACAGACAAATAAGTTGAATTCTGATTGGGTATTTTAATCAACTCTACAGGCCTTCCTCTACTCTAATGTTTGTTCCTCAACAGCATTAATTTTTCAATCTTAATGAATATATCACGTTGGCCTCCTTTTCTTCTGCTAGTTCATTATAGGTTCAGGCTCTACCCAAACAGCTCTTTACTTGGAGATCAATGCTCAAATCAATAGATCCATTCTTAAAACGACCACTCATTTAGCCTTACACATCTCAAGGGAAGCGGCTTAAATTAAGACTCCTCATAATCAAATGAATTAGTGGACTTATCTGGCCTAAATCATTCAGCAGCCGCAACCACTCCACCGAGTCTGACATACATGCAAAATGGGCCATTATCATGAACCATTAACACACATTATAGAGCAAAAGCCCTAGAAGTAATCAAGCACTGCAGCGATGTCAGGAAGATCGAAAGCTTCTAGAGGAAAAGATGTCGAGAAGGGCTAAAGGGACCGTTTTCTGGAAGGCCAGGGCCACAGGGGCTGCAGTTAATGTAGTTTCATTCTCTTTCTTTCAGCTGGAGCAAGGCTGATGAATGACAGGGAGGTGACAAGTTGAACTCTCTCACTTGTCTGCTCGCTCTCACTCCTCCACCAACTGGTAAAGAGATTCTTCCGCCCCCTTGTATTCAGCTGCTACTGCTTCAGCCTTTTCACACTGTGCTTATTTCCCTTCTCTCACCCTGCCTCCTCAACTGCACCCAAGCCATCGATAAAAATGCAGATGCATTGTGGGAAACGGTGCATGACACCATCTGATTTCGTCTCACAGGAGGCGCGAGATCTAAGTTGCTATGAATCGAGTGCAGAGGATCATTAAAAACACAACGCATTTATTTCGTCCTCACTGCTCTTGTTATGCGTGTGTCGGAAGGGTCTTACAGGAGCAGAAGTTCTCCATATATACCCAAGTGGGCTCTTTCCCTCTGGATGCCTAGTTTTCTCCTAATGTCTTCAAACTTACTCATCTGGCAGAGCTCTGCCGCTGTCTGAAAGTCCTGTTGTTTAAGTCATTGTTTAGGTTTATATAATCTGAGGAAGAAAAAAAATGCAGATATACCCAGTCACGTTGCAGAATCAGAGCTGCATAATGCATGGGCAAATCAGATGCGGGCAGGCTGTGTTAGTAAGCGGTGTTTACTGTATATAAATGAGCGGATCCTGCATATTGAGACATTACATTATGCATGAAGAGGTATCTGAATTGTGCATGAAAATGATCCCGAGTCCTGGTATTAAGTGCTTCTGTTTAAACAAACTGGCTAGTTTGCAGAGCTGATTTTAACTGTGCTTGAGGAGAAACAGGTATTAAATGTGCAATTAACATGCTTGTTCACAATCTTCGGGTCACGAGTGCATGAGGAGAGGAATGTAGATGGAATCCGATGTGTGTCCCAGTGAGTCTATTATGATCACCCATCGTGCAGACTGAATGCTGTTTGTCTCTGCACTCCTCCTTTACTCCTGATATCTGATCAATCTTACAGCTCACACCTCTCGTTCCTCTCTATTTATCTCCTCTTGTCTCCTTTCATGTCTTATATGTTCATCTCCTTTTGTCTGCTTCTCTTTTTTCCTCTCTCATATCCTATCTCCTATCTCTTCATTTACCCTTCACTTTTTTCTCCCTCTTTCTTCATCTCCTTTCCTTGATTCTCTTCATCTGCTCTGCTCCTTTTCTGTAATGCTCTCCTCTCCTCTCCTCTCTCAAATTATCATCTCGTGTTTATGTTCTCTCCACTACAATAGGATCTAATCTATTCATCTCCTCTCCTTTCCTCCTTTTTTCCCATCTCTTCTCTCATTTCTTCATCTCCTTTCCTTTCTCCTCCTCGTCCACTCTTTTCTTCTTCCTCTCATTTACTCCTCTTCTCAAATCTACTCCGCTCCTCTCCTCTCCTCTCCTCTCCTCTCCTATCCTCTCCTCTCAAATCATAATTTCATGTGTTTAACACTATAACGGGTAAATTTTACCCATGGCTGTTTTTCAAATGTACGTAACAGATTTACAATAAAATATCCAAGTCTCTCAGTCATTGACTTTTACTAAAATTGTGTTATTTACAATCCCCTGTTGTTAAAAATTGTTTAGATGAAACAATTTACAGATTTTGTGAATTGCTAAAACACTAAACCCCAAACTCTGAACCAAATTCTCACTAGCTTAAACCAATTTCAATAAAATAAAGACTACGGAGCATTCACTAGACACTACAGAGAAAAATGGAGAACACAGCATTCAGAACATTACAGAAAAAAGTATATTGTATTGAGTAAACAATTTTGCAATTCTGTAAAAAAGTATAGTAAATGCACCGAGTAAGGTGAATATATTGTATAGGCCTATACTGTAAGAATAGTATTGTGCTGAATATTGAATAGTGCTGAATGTTTGTATATACTCAGCACTTGGATACTGCAAAAATACTGCAGTCCAACTGCAAAGGCCAAAAAGGTCAAATGAAATTCTAAATGAATAGCACAGTACACTCAAATACTGTAAGTTCTGCAATTGTAAAATCAGGGTCAATGAGAGATTCATTCTGTCTCAGCATCATGTCTTTGTGCTTGAGTCAGGCCTGAGGACTTTGTCCACATCACAAGTAATGGTGAACAACTGAATATACAGTAAACACACATTGGAATATAATGTCAGTTACTTTACAGAAATAAATAAATAAATAATGAATGAATGAATAAATAAATAAATAAATAAATTCATTCATTCAGCATCCTCCGCCAATTTGCATTACAGTATTGGTATCTTTATTTGTTATAGCAGTTTCTTAGTCTTCTGACAAAAGACTTCTCTGCCTCCCCTAGACAGTCGTCTCTCAGTTTTGCACAAATCCAGTACATGTAAGGACTACTTGGCTACAAATCAATTAAACAGTAATGAGTTTGAGAGTGTGCAACATGTGTTACAGTATTTACTGTACATAGAATAATGAAAATTCCCTTTCAGTCAGTCACTCTCGACGTCACGTGATGACCGACAAACTGGGATCTCACTTAGAGAGACCAATCCACTTCGAGTGTAGACTAAATGAGCCAATGCACATTGGCATGCGATTATTGCGTCCAGCTGTCGCTGATCACAGCGTGAGTATAA